TGCGCTCATCGTCTTCCGCTCCTTTCAGGAGCCGGTCACCAAGTCCCCGCAGGGGAAACTAGGAACGGTGACTTCTGGGGGTGAAGTCGCGGCCCGGCGAACAGTAAAAGACCCTCCTTTGACGCAACGACCAGACGAGGGCGATTCCGGTTTTGCAGTGTTCTCCGACAGCAAAAAGATTGTTTCTGCCGAAATTGCCGTCTTCGTCGACAATCATGCTGTTAACGCCCTCGTCGATACCGGTGCCGACTATTCCGTAATGAGCGCAACACTGGCATCTGAACTGAGGAAGGTTATGACGCCTTGGCAAGGACCTCAGTTGCGCACGGCAGGTGGCCATCTGGTGACGCCTACTGGTATGTGCACGGCACGCATTCGAATACGTACGTCAACATTTGCGGGCTCTTTCCTCGTATTGCGCGTGTGCTCTCGGCCAGTCATTCTAGGAATGGACTTCCTTCGTGAATACGGCGCCGTCATCGACCTCCGTGAATTACTTGTGTCGTTCGAGGATCCTTTTTGCGCTGCAACTGACAGTATGCAATTCCGGAAGAGAGCGCTCCGTGTTACCGACGATTCTCTGACTCTCCCACCTCGAAGCAGCCTCTTTGTCAAAGTAGAATTGGGACAGGACTTGTCTGACGCGGTAATTACAGAGGCCAATTTGTCTCTCCTTATTTCACAGCAAATCTGTGTTGCCCGAGGAATCATTCAGCCTAGCAATAGGCATGCTCACCTGCTGGTCACGAACTTCAGCGGCGAATATCGCCACCTAACGAGACACACTGCCATTGCATATTGTGAAGAGCTTGCCGATGCCGATGGTCCATCTACGTTAGCTTCATTTTCATCGAATGGCCACCCTGACGAGGCCTTCATGAGCACTCTCGACGTAAACGAGAGACTACCTTCGGCTCATCGAGAAAGCCTTTTGCGTATACTCGGCTCATTTCAAGACTGCTTTGCCACTACGTCAAGGGTTAAACAGACACCACTTGCTCAACATCGTATCATCACGGAACCTACTGAGACACCCATCCGACAACATGCCTATAGGGTGTCGCAAAAAGAGCAAGATGCTATACGTGACCAAGTCCAGCAGATGCTTCAGGACGACGTCATTCAGCCATCGACCAGTCCCTGGGCTTCGCCAGTTGTGCTAGTAAAGAAGAAGGATGGTACGTTGCGTTTTTGCGTTGATTACCGTAAACTGAACAAGGTCACCAAAAAGGACGTTTATCCTCTACCCCGGATAGATGACTCGTTGGACCGTATACGCAACGCTAAATATTTTTCCTCCATGGATTTGCGTAGCGGCTACTGGCAAATCGCAGTGGACGAGCGCGACCGCGAAAAGACGGCGTTTATTACTCCAGACGGTCTGTACGAGTTTAAAGTGTTGCCTTTCGGTCTATGCTCAGCGCCAGCTACTTTTCAAAGAATGATGGATACGGTTCTCACGGGGCTCAAATGGCAAGCATGCCTTGTTTACCTTGATGACGTCGTGGTCTTTGCAGACACGTTTGAACAACACGTCCAACGCCTTTATGCAGTTCTTCAGGCAATTAGAACAGCGGGGTTGTCTCTCAAACCCGACAAATGTCATTTTGGATATGAAGAACTGAAGTTCCTTGGTCACGTTGTGAGCCATGCTGGCATCCGCCCATATCCCGAGAAAACCCGCGCCGTTGCCACCTTTCCCGTACCCACAAATAAGCGCGACCTACGCCGTTTTCTGGGGCTCTGTGCGTATTACAGGCGCTTTGTCAAAAACTTCTCGAAGATTGCTGAACCCCTCAACAAGCTTACAAAAGACGGTGTCTCGTTTGTTTGGGGTCCCGATCAGTGCCATGCGTTCGACACCCTCCGAAACCTCCTCCAGGCTCCGCCTGTACTAGGTCATTTTGACGAAAGCGCTGACACGGAATTACAAACTGACGCCAGCAACGTTGGACTAGGAGCGGTATTAGTTCAGTGGCAAAATGGCATAGAGCGCGTGATCGCTTATGCGAGCAGAACGTTATCCCCAGCGGAAAAAAACTATTCTGCAACCGAAAAGGAATGCCTCGCTGTTGTCTGGGCCATAACAAAGTTCCGCCCATACTTGTATGGCCGCCCATTCAGGGTAGTTAGCGACCACCATTCCCTTTGTTGGCTCGCGAATCTCAAAGATCCCTCAGGTCGTCTAGCACGATGGAGCCTTCGGCTACAAGATTTCGATGTCACCATCGTCCACAAATCTGGGCGGAAACACACCGACGCCGACTGTCTCTCACGTGCACCGGTCGAAAATGCCAACACTGACCTTGAAGACGACGACACTTTTCTTTCTGCCGTATCAGCGACCAGCTTAGCGGAGCAACAGCGTCATGACTCGAAGCTCATCCCGCTCATTGACTATCTGGAAAGACGCAATTCCCACCTTCCCCGAAGCTTTGCGCGCTCACTATCTTCCTTTTGTTTCCGTGATAGAGTGCTTTATAAAAAGAACTTTCATCCTACACAAGCTATGTATCTGCTTGTTGTGCCAACTACGCTTCGTGGTGACATTTTACGTGCGTGTCACGATGAGCCATCATCCGGACACCTCAGCTATACGCGCACGCTGCAACGGATTCAACGCTCCTACTACTGGCCACGTCTCGCGAAGACTGTGAAGCACTACGTTCGCACATGTCGCGACTGTCAGCGACGTAAGATTCCACCTTTACGACCAGCGGGACTACTGCACCCAATTGGCCCACCAAAGGCGCCCTTTCATCAGATTGGCATGGACTTGCTGGGGTCATTCCCCACGTCTTCGTCTGGAAACCGGTGGATTGTCGTCGCTACAGACTACTTAACACGCTACTGTGAAACCAAGGCACTTCCAAAAGCCACCGCAGCAGATGTCGCCCAATTTTTTGTTAACAACATCGTCTTACGTCACGGTGCTCCAGCTGTCGTCATAACTGATCGTGGGACAGCTTTCACCGCAGAGATGCTGCAGGAAGTCTTGCGATTAAGTGGCACGGAACATCGTAAAACAACGGCTTACCACCCGCAAACAAATGGGCTGACTGAACGACTCAATAAGACAATTGCAGACATGCTGTCAATGTATGTGGACATCCATCACAAGAACTGGGACACCATACTTCCCTACGTAACTTTTGCGTATGACACTGCTGTTCAAGAAAGTACCGGTTTCACGCCTTTTCGCTTAGTCCACGGTCGTGACGTCACGACGATGCTCGACGCCATGCTCCTGCCCGACAACTTAGGAATATACCACACGGATGCCGCCAAATTCGCGCAGTGCGCAGAAGAGGCCCGTCAACTTGCTCGTCACCGCATTCAACGTCACCAAACCGCAGACGCGCGCCGCTACAATCTTCGCCACCATGAAGTTATTTTTAAGCCAGGTGATGAGGTCTGGGTGTGGACCCCTATCCGACAGCGTGGACGTTCCGAAAAGCTTCTTCGCCGCTACTTCGGCCCTTACAAGGTTGTGCGACGTCTCAGTCACGTCACTTACGAGGTTCTCCCACAAGGCAATTCGAGACGTTCCCGTTTCACCCCGTAAACTGAAGTCATTCACGTTTCACGTCTCAAACCATACTTTTCGCGCTGTGAATCGCCAGAGAGTGACTGACTTTATTAGTAACTTCGCGTCTTTCTTTTTGTTTCGTCCTTTCCTTACATTTTTCCTATTTTTCTTATTTCTCTAACTTTTGTCCCCACAACCAATTACGTTATTCCGCCTTACGCCATTAATTTTGCTCGCATGCTAATTTTCATCTAATTTTCTTTTCTTTTTTTTTTTGCCTTCATGTATAGCATCGAGACGATGCTTCTTGGGAGAGAGGGTAATGCCACCATTGATAAACGAGCCACTGTGGCTCATACGCGTTTTTGGGCGCGAAGAAGAAGAGAACATCTTCGTTGCTCTGGTTCAAGTGAACTCCTGGCTGCGGGTCTTGTTTTGTTCGTGACAATATGAACAAACAAAATACCTTTCGCTTCTCGTGGTTTTCACATTCATGCAGATCAGCTGAACAGCGTTGAGATAAGTTTTCCCGCACATTCTTTTGTTTTGTTCGGCGTGGAAAAAAAATCCAAAACTCTGTCATCCAAAACTTTTAACGAGACGTAGACGTAGCGGCAAGTGTTTCTTTCGCATCAATGTAGATATATTTAGTTGCAGTGTGGGTATCGACACGAATATGTTACGTAGTCCAGAGAAATCAAAGCTGAGATTTGGTGCATTGTTGTAGTCTTAAAAATATTGACTGATGCAGCACCAGTTTCACGTTGTCTGTAAAGATTTACAGCAGAAGCGTCGTTTATGATGAAATTTGTTGAGTGACATTGTCTTTACCGACCACTGAGGCAAATTCATGCAATGCCAGACCCTAAGTTCTTGCAGAGTTTTAATTTTCAAAAGCTCGTTGTCTGAACTATAGAGAGCATCACGAAGACATTGTGTGCAGCACTGCCGGACGTAGAACGGAAGATGTGTGACCGTTCTTTCATCACCGCAATGTTCACAGGCAGTGGTGTCGCCCACACCTAGGCACAGTGCATATGCAGGGGTAAACTCGGCGACCAACCATCACATATACAGAACGGTAGCGTAAACGAGATGGTGTCTTGATGCCGGAGGCTGATCGTTGGATCAAAGGGAGTGTAACCATTTATGCATAAAATATGGCTTGTTTCAGATCGATTCGGTGAATTGGGAAGCGAGCATGTCGACTATGCCATCTTCCAGAAATAACGTTGCAGAATATGGCCGACTTAACTTAGAACGACTCTAATTAGAACGCTGTCGTGTTTCTGTGTGACTGACTTTTGTTTCATATCCACTTATTTAACATTCATTTTTCTCTACTCTCATGCTAATCTCCTATTTCCCCACCCCAGTGCAACGTAACGGATAATAGTATTTGGTTAACCAACCTGTCTTCATCTATGTGCAGGCTGTGAGTAGTTTGTCAGTGCATGCGCTTATACTGCAGGAAGGTGTCTAAGGCAACAGCCCTGCTGTTCCCTCTCTTGGGCATCACGCACCTTTTCTTCTGCATCAACCCTCGGGATGACGCCCATTTCGAGAGCGCCTACGTCATCTGCAACGCCCTGCTCCAATCGTCCCAGGTAACACTCTTCGCTCTCGTTCGTTCACTCTCTACTCACTCTCGGTCGCTTCTTTCTCGATTATATGGCGATGCAACTTGGTCCGTTGTCAAGGTCGAGGATTCGCCAGACAGTTGCATGCGAATACTTCAAGTGTCCCGACCTTTGAGAGCTTTACTTGCGTTCCTCAAGCCTACTTTAACTTCATCTCATTTCTCCGTAACAATCGCTGCTATTAGCACTCCTTCCAAATGCGACGACGACACGGGGGGAGCATAGCATTTTATAATTATCGTGAACCATTTGTTTCTGGGCCCGTATTCACCTTAAGTTTAGCAGGATAATGCGATGGTGAGCTGCGGAACTATTTAGATGAAGTTCGTCGTGCGCACACGCATACGTGTCATGTTTGCTAAGAAGCGAACTTACGCGAAAACTACACGAGAAATGAAGTTATCACCAGAAACTTTGAGCCATGCGTTAAGTCAAAGAGAAAATGTAAACAAGAACGCTCTTTAAAGGGAAACGTCCGATTACATAACGTGCTCGTGTCGAATCACTTTATCATTGTTTTACTTCTGGCTTTCAAGCATGGCCTTTAAGACGTCCTAATCTTGCGCTAAAGGATTACCAATTGCTACGGTACCCGTTTTTCTAAAGCGACCTAAAGCTTACTGTTCAGTGCACGTCTAATCACGAAATGTTAACACGAAAAACGCCATAAAACATTTAAAATAAAAAGTTGTTCGATCTGCAGTCACCGTGAAGTCGTATACACGCGCTGCAAACAGTGCGATGTGAATGCAATAACGACTTGTGTTTGTGCTCGCGCATGCGCCGTGGCTGGACGTGTTTCCTTATTAGCCACGATGATGATGATGATGAAAAACATTTATTATAAAAGAGAGAGGTACGGGGCCAAAGCATGACCCTGCTACATGGCCGGCGTCCTTAGTCCGGGACACCGTATGACGCTGCCCCTACTCGCGCCCGTCTCACCAGAGCCCGTTGAGACTCTAGTGATGAGCAGTTGAGGAGGGCAGTCTCCCATGCCTCTCGGGAAGGGGGTAGGTGGAGATTTTTCGGACATGCCCATACCATGTGGAAGATATCACACGTCTCCCCACAGTGTGGGCACCGCCCATCTGTGTTCGGATCGAAATGCTTTAGGATTGCAGGACAGAGTAGAGTACCTGTCTGCAGGCGCCTTAGAGTTCGCTCTTCCGCCTTACTCAGTCCCTTTGCAGGAGCCGGGTAAAGGCGGTGAGTATCACGATAATAGGTCAGAATTTCTTTGAACCGCAGCAGCGGTGTATTGGCCTCCGAGTCATAAGAGCCAAGGTGAGGAGCCCGGTGGGTAAGCGCTCGGGCGGCCGCGTCAGCGGCCTCATTACCTCGTAAGCCCTGATGGCCAGGAGCGCATACGATGCGTTTCGGGGCTGGATCAGCGAGAGCCCGTTTTAGAATTTGGCTGGCTAGGGGGGATATCTCTCCTACCAAGTAATGAGTACATGCTTTCCGGGAGTCCGTAATGATAACTTTCGAGTTGGGGTCCGCAGCAGCAAGCGCTATCGCGACTTCCTCAGCGCACTCTGGATTTTGTGCTCGGAACGAGAGCACATTGACATGCTTTTCCCGGTGAACTACAGAGGCCGTGTAAAATCCCGTGGGCGAAGGCTTTGCTATATCTACGTAGAATACACCAGGTCGGGAGCCGTGTTGCCTCTCAAGCGTCCGAGCCCGCGCCTGTCTTCTGCTTATTTGCCACGAGGGCAGCACGAGGGCAGTTTCCTATTTACATATATGTTTCATTCGGTTTTCAGCCACAAAGCCTGTCTGGTAAGCTCAGCGCAAGCTGCGCCGCGTTGTTCTAGAAGGTTCACGATTGTAAAAGATATTTTTGTTAAGATTACGCTCACTTCGCAGACTTGACGCATTATTCTGGAACCGGCGCGGCTACTAGCGATAACTTGAGTTCGGTGCCACGTGTATAAATTCCGACGTGCTTCACCGATTGTCAGTTCATCGACGGCCGACACTCTCCTCGCCGCTATCAGTGCCCGTGTCCTGCTGAAATCTGACTTTCTTTTTACGTGACCGGAAGTTCGGCCCAAATAAGCAGTTTAATACTCGACCTGCAGTCTGCTCCCTTTGTCCACGTCACGATTCCGTGACAGTATAAATTATACTCGAAATTCGATGCCTAAAACTGCATAATTCATTACCTTTCATTTACACCAGGGTCTAATCACACGTTCTGACCTGCAGTTGTGATTCCCTTCAACACCCTCATATGTCTATAGATCCCAAGAGATGGAAAAGGTGCATTAGGGCAGACGGAAAGTCAAGGGGGCCAATAGGGTTAAGTAGTCTGAAGGTACAACATTATAGCAACAAGCAAAAGAGCGAGTTGATAGGCGGAACAGGGGAGAGGTCTTCGCCTGCAGTAGGCGTAGTCAGAAGGAGGAAGATGACGAGGATGATGATGACGATGATAATGATCATACGCCTAGCACACACTAAGTTAAGTGAGGTCTAGATGTGCCGCATTAACAGCGTCTTAACTGCATTGATTTCAGCTACACGCATGGCACGTGAATCTTTCCTTCAGAAGTAATCAAATGGTGTTCCACAATCCTAGCGCTCTTTTTAGCCCCTGCAGATGCTAATTGCACGCACGCGCGCCACACACATGCACACACTCAAAAGCCATCTGGATGGCTCAAAGCTCGCCACGCGAATATTCGCCAGAAGCTTTAGGAAACTTGTGACGAAGCATGGAGTCCAGTCGGGTAAACAAGCTTCTTCCGGCATTTGAGGGCCATCGTGCTAGACCCCTGTAAAAGCTGAGCAAGCAGTTCATGAATATATAGCGTAATTTGTTTTTTAGGTGTAGGCATTAGCCATGGCACAAGAGATATTCACCAGAAAAGTGCATCGTCCCGGCTTCAGATTAATCGGGAAAACTTTGCAGTCTCGCCTGAATTACTAAGCGGGCAGTGGCCCTAGAGCTCGAATCCTGCCACCATTAAACCCCAGCTTCATAGCTTTGGGGCCCAGAAGTTCCCTCTCTCTTTTTTGGTGTATCTTGAAAACAAAAAAGTGGCCCCGTATCTGCATGTTACACTGCAAATGTCGCCTTGCATGTGGAGAGATAGTCTTGCGTGTGGAGAGATTGAACAAAACATTTATTTGATGTCCTGCGCAAAAAAATCGTTGAATGGTATTCTAAAGGCCTCGAGCCTCGAGCTAGAGTGCCTCGAGCGTGCAGCGGAGGCGAACGAGTGCATCAAGTCACGTCAGACATGCGACATGAGCGCTATCTGACAGTTATCTTGGAAAACGAAGCGTGCGGCTCTAAGACGCGTGCGCCCGTCTCAGAGGTGATAAGGTGTAGAACGCAAGGCGACGGGTAGGTGCCACCACCGTGTCGTTTCAGCAAAGCGTTGGAAACACTTACCTTTTCGTGCAAGCGTTGCCTGGTGAGCGCAACGTGATAAACGCTACGGTCTTTATAATTACTTAGGTATGTTTTTTTCTAGTAAGAGACAGATATACAGAATATTCAAGCATTCTTATGGTGCCTCAGATATGCACAATAATTGCTTTTTAATTGACAATCAAACAAGTATGAACGCTGAATCTTGAGTAATATTGGTGGGTGCTGCGGATGGGTTTGACCATTCGGAGTATCGTTTGGCCACTTTGGTGCCGTTTAAAGTACCGTTAAGAGCGGACAAACAGACAAACGTACAGACAGACAGACAGACAGACAGACAGACAGACAGACAGACAGACAGACAGACAGACAGACAGACAGACAGACAGACAGACAGACAGACCAAAAGTTTTGCGTCGGAGTTCCCCAAGAAAGGCTATCGTCTTTAAAAAAGAATAAACGTGCGGTTCTACGCACCTCTAAACAGCTTAGAGAATCCCATTTGACCCTATATGGTTCCATTAGAGTTACGCTTCCTTGTTACAGGAAGTTTAGTTCGGATGTGTAAGAGTGGGTACGCATCCAACGCTCCTGCAGGCGCGATCCGTCAGGATATGTGTATTATATTTAAACTATCAATACTTGAAATTCCGTGCAAAACTCATGATTCAAAACACCGCCAGGCCAGCGCTCAATTCGCAGCACTGTCACAGCGAAAGCTAGAAGAGCGGTCTTTCAGAGCGTTCTTTTAACACTCTTTGGGTAGCTGCTACAAGCACACTTGCTGGGTACCCACCACGTCATTAGCCGTGTATTAAGCAGGAACTTACTATGCCATCTTTCGTCATTCTTTGTGGTACCCACTGTACACTTGCAAGAAACCTGTGCAAAATTTTTGTGCTGTGGGTGACGACGATAAACAACTATGCCAGAAGCTTTTGTAATCACCACGATCCCCCACAGCTGGTATGCGCCACCGCTCATACGTGACAAAGATCGAACTTTTTTAGAGGGTTGGATCATTCGATGACCCACTCGTTGTGCAATTCGCATTATGTGACATGTGCATCTGATTGTTCCTTTGCTGTTCTAAAACGTTTTATTACTCCTACTAACACGATTCTTTTCTCGATATCAAGTGTGCCTAAGTCCAATTTGGCTCAATGGCAACGTGGCTGAGTGGTAGAATACTGAGGTGGCACGCAGGGGACCCGGGTTCGAATCCCATTGTGCCCTATGTACTGTTTATTTTCTTACTTCGTGCGAGTGTGGTTACGGACACCGGCGGCGGCGGACGGCGCGCACGTGACCCGTGTTGTGATCTCATACCTGCTTTCGCTGTTAAAATGAGAGTGTCATTAATTTTCAAGAACTACAACTGCCGTAATGCCATTAATAAGGAAGTGAGTTAGCGAGTTCCTCCTAATTTATTACTTTAATGTCTTTTACTCCGACAAAGTCTTTCTGCTTCCAGGTGGGAAGCAGTTCATGTGCGATAAAGGCAGGAAGTAACCATCACTGCATTTTTATTGTCTAAAAAATGCACGCCCTGTATTCTGATATTTGCTCTTTTAGATGATTT